ACAGGGAGTCTGTGTTCCTGAGCTCAGCCTGTAGCACTGTGCTCTGAATTAGCCTCAAAGATCTGCACTTGTTTTTAAAATGAGATACTTATCAGAATGACCGGAAGATTGGCTGCCATATCACCTCTGTAAATCTCATTTTGGTGAGCTACTGCATATTCTACTGCATACCTTAGAGACAATGCAAAACCAACTTGTACCATAGAAATGTAATTTACTTTAGACTAAAACTCCTTAAATACATTTATAGGGATTTTGGAGAGCAATAAAAGGCCTGTAGGCTTATTACACAACATGAGTGAACACTGATGACGCTTGTCTCCACTGTTCAGGTTAAACTATGCATTAAATAAGTTGCACAGGAATACTTAAATCTGTTTAGCCCCATGGGCATTTTAGTATGTATTGCCATTACAGCACTGAGATTTTATAGGGAAGTAAGGCAGCAGTTTTATTTAATTTTGACACTTACAGTTACAGTTATTATTTTTTGTGTTGTACGTGTCCTCGAGTCCCAGAGAGGCGCCTTTAAATAAAATGTATTATTATTATTATTATTATTACAAGTCAGCATTAAAACACTAACCACAAAGCAAATGTCCCGTTACAAATTTAGTGAAATTATCCTTTATTGATCCCCATAGGGAAATTCACTCCCTGCATTTGACCCATCCTAAGTACTGGGAGCACTAGGCAGCCACAGTACAGTAACATGTATGTTAAAAATCAAACATAAATCTTTTTTTAAAAGACCCTACGAAGCTAGTAATTCTTGTATATGTTAGGGTCATACAGTTCCTGAATCTGAATTATATTCAATATATATTTCCCACTTTCTTTCTAAAACACACAAAATAGGGACAGTTAGAGGAAAACACACTAATGCTGAGAAAAGGGGTTTCTCATTGATTTTCTTGATTAAAGAACTACGGTCACTGCAAAAATCGTGTGTTTGGTTTGTCTGTTCTGGGCTCCTGTAGAAAACTCAGTTCAACGATTGGCTAGCCTCTGTAGAAGGGGGACCCCATCCCTCTATAGATAAAAACAGCCATTCTTAAAGGTAACAAAACACAATGATCTTATTGTCAGGTGATTATACACCAATGAAAACATATTATATTATATTTCTGCCAAAGGATTCTGAATGTTACAAACTGGACCTTTAAGTGTAAGATAAGCTCTTGTTTAGGAAGCCATGTCTTCAGAGGTAGACCATCATCAAGACACAATTAATTGATTCTAAAAGTACAGCAGGGCTGTGATACAGAGATGCCTTTCAAGAAGATGGAGTCAGGATGATGAAATGGTCTGTATTTTTAGTATTCATTAAGATTTTCCAAATACAATTTCACACCATCTCGCCATTCGTATCACCTGGATGGAAAGATCATATTGAAAACTCTCCCAGCAGCAGGAACTGCATGTGACCTCTCTGTTCTACAGTGGTTTTAGGGGTGCTAATGGAGGACATATGGGGGCTGAATCCGCACTAAAATACTGTCTGGTGGCACAAGGGTCCTCATGTGCCTTGCTGAAATTACATTTCTGAGGTGCAGCGAGGTGCAGCAAAGACGCACTCATGCTGCTAGAAATAGGATATAATGCTGCTATCATTGAATGGCGGGGTGTCTGGGACACAAAGACAGACACAGCAAATTTCAGTAGCATATGGTGAAGAAACTGCCTGTTCTCCATGGACATCTAATTAACGTGAAGTTCTTGAATAAGTCCCCATGAGCTGCAGACCATAACAATCACCAGCTGAAATAAGATGTGCAGTCAGTAGCTGGCATACTGGATCAGCCGTCATCCTCACTGCTGCACTCCGACATCTTACTGATGAGTAATGAAGCAAGTGTGCACACACCTCCTTGCTGGTTCTACATTGGCCACCATTTCTCCTCCAGAAAGAGTGTTTCTGTAGTCTTCCCTCTGCGTGAGTTTATACTCTCATGCAGGGATATTTGGAACCAACCACATTTTCCCCAAAAAAGGTCCTAATTTGTCAACATCCCAACACCCAGCTCTGCTCGTTGAGCTCCTTTAATTTGCATTTTAGTATTTCACAACTGTAATCCTGTGTAACTGTGTCCTAACAGTTCCGACAGCCTAAAAGCCGGTATGGCAAACATCATGAAAAGCTAACAAAAATACCAAACAGATGCTGAGATTTGGCTTACCCCACAACCTAAAAATAACTTGACTTTGATAGGAATCTAGGCTACAAGTGGTGATGAATGTGTACCCTGCCAGTTATACAGTGTGGTATGATTTTCACTGGATGGGTTTATTCTGCTTCTTGTACTTAAACGCACACTAATTCCAGCATTATTTTAGGCCCTAAGCAGAAGAATATTACACTAAAATCTCCCAGA